AGACCTGGAACGTCAGCTTTCCTGCTCCTCTGATGCTGCTTGGCCTGCTGTGTTCATCCAGCTCTACACCTTGTTATCTCACGTTTATATCAATGATGTTTTTACTACTAAGTGAATAGTAGAATTAACTTGGACCATATCTGCATTTTATTTCTGTTTTAATTTCAGATCCTTTTTTCTCCCTGTTTGCACACACGGATAAAAATACATCCATACATAGCCGAATTATTTGGACTTGTGACTGGACTTTCGACAGTAAATACTTTGTCACTGGTAGCCGTGACAAGAAGGTGAGTGTTTAGAATAGTGGTACAGGGGGGTCAATGATAATGTTGCATAATCCTTAAGGAAATGGTTTTGGGAAGTGTACTAAGAAGATTTGGTTTTCACATGACTGCAGTATGTGTGAGATTGCATTCATATTTCTTTTAAAAAAGTAGTTTTCTACTTAATTTTACAATGTCTTGATTTTCTGTCAATGTTTCAAGTTTTCTGTTCAGGTTTCAGTCTCAGAAAATAAACAACCTGCGGCATATGATTGAAAATTTGAGCTTCTTGTAAAATGTATGTTCTCTTCAGTTGAATTTATTAATTTTGAAAATCAGAAGAGTAAATAGTTAGAGATAACACAGTGTGGAGCTGGAGGAACACAGCTGACCAGGCAGCATCAGAGGAGTAGGAAAATTGACGTTTCAGGTCGGGACCCTTCTTCAGAAAGGCCTTGACACTTAGGTGCTGGGTCACTAGGCCAGCAGTTTCTTGGTCCTAAGAGCCAGTATTCGAAGTCAACTCTTCGGGGGATTCAGTAGCAAGAAGTTTTTTTTTCCTTCTTGTGGGTGGAGATGGCAAGGAAAAGGGGCTTAGAGGCAAGGAAAGTGATGGCTTTCAGAGACCACCCCTTTGCCCCCTACACCTGTGCCTCTGATTGCTGGGGAGGCAGGTAGTTGGAGAGGTGGCGATTTGTGGCCTTTAACTGGCCATTAATTGACTATTTAGGGTCTGCAATAGCTGGTAAGCCAAGAAAGTCCTCTGTGGTTTTCTTAGCCAGCTCTTGATTGCTGAGCTGATGAGAGATGGTAAGTTTCTTTCCAGCACTAAGTCACTGCATTGTTTTCCATTCATTGTTTTCCCACTCACCACCTCGACGATGAGAAAATGGCACGCTTTGTTTCCCATCATCAGAATTATGGGATTCACAATTGGCTAGAAAGCTCTATATGATCAGCTATACTAATAGCTACAGTAAGAAGGAAAAGGTATAATACTTTGGCAAAAGTTTCATCTCATGATGTGACTAAGGTGCTCCATTATAACAAGCTTCAAGTCAGGAGTGTGATTGAATAGGTGGAAGACACCAGCAGCATACCAGAACTTCAAGAGAGTCAAGGACAGTGGTGAGTGTAGTGGCTATCACTTAGGAGAAAGTGCTGGGGAAGCTGAAAGGCCTGAAGGTGGATAAATCTAACCTAGACCACCCCAGAGTTCTGAAGGAGAAGCTGAGGAGGTTTTGGTAGTGATCTTGGAGTCACTGGAGTCAAGGAAGGTCCCAGAGGACTGGAAAATGGTTAACTTAACACCCCTGTTTAAGAAGGGGAGGGAGGCAGAAGATAGAAAGTGATAGGTTGGACAGCCTGACATCGGTCATTGGTGAGATTTTTGTGTCTGTTGTTAAGTATAAAATTGCTGAGTACTTGGAAGTGCATGGTAAAATAGGGCTGAGTCAGCATGGCTTCATCAAGAGAAGGTCATGCATGACAAATATGTTAGAATTCTTTGAGGAGGTAACAAGCAAGTTAGACAAAAGAGAGCCAGTGGACGTGTACTATTTGGATTTCCAGAAGGCCTTTGACAAGGTGCAGCACAGGAGGCTGCTAAATAAGACCAGAGCCCATGGTATTAGGGGCAAGGTACTGGCAATAGAGGTTTTGCTGACTGGCAGAAGGCAGAGAGTGGGGATAAAACATTTTTTTTTCCAGTATGGCAGCCTGTGACTAGTGGAGTCCCACAGGGGTCAGTGTTGGAACCACAACTATTCATGATTTACATTAATAATCTGTGGTTGAAAGAACTGAAGGCATTGTTGCTAAGTTTGCAGATTGTTGAAGGAGCAGGTAGTGTTGAGGAAGCAGCGTGGCTATAGAAGGACTTGGACAGACTAGGAGAGTGGATAAAGAAGTGGCAGATGGAATACAGTGGGGAAAGTGTGAGGTTAAGCACTCTAGTTTACACCTCTATTCTTCTTACCATTTTCTAAAAGTGAAAATGTTTTGGAAATCTGAAGCACAAAGGGACTTGGGAGTCCTAGTTCAGGATTCTCTTAAGGTTAACATGCAGGTTCAGTTAGGAAGGCAAATACAATGTTAGTATTCAATTCAAGAGGGCAAGAATACAAGAGCAGAGATGTACTGCTGAGGCTGTATGTGGCTCTGGTCAGACTGCATTTGGAATATTGTTTTGGGGCCTGTATTTAAGAAAGGATTTGCTAACATTTGAGGGGTCCAAAGGAGGTTTATAAGAATGATCCTAGGGATGAAGGCTTGTCATATGAGGAATCGAGGACTCTGGGTCTGTACTAGATGGGGTTTAAAAGGAGAAGGGTGGATCTGATTGAAATCTACACAATATTGAGAGGCCTGGACAGAGTGGGTTTAGAGAAGGCATCTCCACTAGTAGGAGAGACTAGGACCCAAGGGACACAGCCTCAGAATAAGGGGACGACCCTTTAGAACTGAGATGAGCAGGAATTTCTTCAGCCAGTTGGTGGTTAATCTGTGGAACTTATTGCTGCAGAAGGCTGTGGAGATCAAGTCATTAAATTTACTTAAGATAGCGACAGGTTCTTGATTAGAAAGGGGAATGAGGACTATGGGGAAAAGGCAGGATTTAGAAACAATTCAGTCATGATTGAATGACAGAACAAACTCGATGGGCCAAATAGCCTAATTCTGCTTATATACCTTATGGCCTCAAATGCAGCCAAACATCAGAGAAAATCAACTTACTTGATCAGTGTACACGCTTGGATACAGACTGGTTATGCAATGTTTGACTAAGAATTTGGCACCATACAGGAGCTGGTTATTTGGTATTTCACAAACCTCTGCAATAATTATAAATTTAGTGCTGTAACTGTATTCAGTTCTATTGCATGACAGGAATTTTGTCAGATAGCACATGAGGAAAGGTTTACCTTTTAAGTACATCACCAATCCTGCACAGAAGTTTAATAGTCTTTGCGCTTTATTCGAAACAAATAAGACCTTAAGAAATAGAACAGGAGAAGGCCATTTGGCCCCTCGAGCCTACTGTGCTGTTCAGTAGGATCATGGCTGATCTGAATCCCTTGTGCCCACTCTCCTGCTCTTTGCCCATAACCCTTGATTCCCCTACTGATCAGAAATTTGTCTCAGCCTTAAATATACACAGGTCTCTGGCCCCACAGCTCTCTGTGACAAGGTCAAAGACAGTTAACTCTCTGAAAGAAGAAATTCCTGCTCATTTCAGTCTTAAGTTCACACCCTTAGCTCTGAGACTATGCCCTCTAGTCCTACACTCCCCCACATTCCCTCAGCATTTAGCCAGTCAATCCCCTTAAGAAGACTATATGTTTCAATGAGCTTACCTGTCATTCTTCTAAATTCCAGTGAGTAGAGTCCAAATCTGTTTAACTTTTGTTCATAGGCAATCCCTCCATACCAAGGTTCATCCTAGTGAGCGTTCTTGGAACTGCCTCCAGTGAAATAATATTTTTCCTTAAATAAGGGACCAAAACTGCTCACAATGCTCCAGATGTCACCTCACTAGCATTTTGCATAAATTTTGTAGTATTTCCCTCCTCTTACATTTCAACCCCCTTGAAATGGGGCCAACATTCCATCAGCCTTCCTGATTACTTGCAGCAGCAGTGTGCTAGCTCTGTGTTTTGTGCACAAATACCCCCACTTCCCCTTGTGCTGCAGATTTCTGCAGTGTTTCCCCATTTAAATCGTATTCTGTTCTTGTACTCTCCCTTCCAAAATGAACAACTTCACATTTTCCCACATTATGCTCCATTTGCCATGTTTTTGCCCACTTGCTTAATGTATCAATATCTCTCTGTAAACTAACCTTCTCGCAATTCCTTTTCCACCTGTTTTTGTGTCATCTGCAAATTTAGCTACGGTACATTCCCTTCCTTCCTCCAAATCATTAATCTATTTTGTAAACATTTTGAGTCTCAGCTCTGCTCCCCCCACTGTATAGGTAACCAACCTGATCAACGGCCTGTCATCCTACTTGCTGTTTCATTTATGCACCTTTTTGTAAGCCTTCAGTAAGTCCAAATATCATGCATCTGGTTCTCCTTGATCCATTCTAGTTGAGACTTGCTGAAAAAATTCTAATGGGTTAGTCCGAGATGATTTCCCTTTCATGAAGCCTGCTTACTCTGCTCAACTAGATTATAATTTTTCAAAATTACGGTGATTACTTCCTTAATAATTGATCCCAACATTTTTCCAAAAATAGAGATTAAGCTAATCAGCCTATCGTGACCTATTTTTTGCTTCCCTCCCTTTTGAATAGAGGTATCATATTGGTAGCTTTCCAATCCTCCAGTACTCTTCCAGAGTCCATTGATTTTTTTGAAAATTACAACCAATGTATCCACTATCTCTGTAGTGAGTTTATTTTTAGGATCCCAGGATGCAAGCCATTAGGGCCAGGGGACGTATCTGCCTTTAGCCCCATTAGTTTACTTCTTTAGAGATGGTGATGGTACTTAATTCCTCCACTGTATCCTTTTTCATGAATGGGATGTTCAAAGTATCTCCCACCATAAAGACTAAACCAAAATATCTGTTTAACTTCACTGCTGTTTCTTTGTTACCCAAAACTACTCCACCAGATTTATTTCCTGAGTGGCCTCTTGTTCGTTTTGACCTCTCGCTTCCTTTTATATATTTAAAGAAGCTTATTTCTACTTGTTGTTTATTTTCTGCTTATCATTTTTGTCCTCCTTTGCTAGGATTGAATTTATTCCAGTATTCAGAGCTATCCTCCTTATATGATTTTTCTTTCAACTTAATACTCTTTGTAACTTCCGTAGTTAGCCATGTTTGGTTTATCTCTCTCTTAGAATTTACTCCTTACTTACATATATTTTTGATGAGAGTCTTAAATTACCTCCTTAAATGTCTACCTTTTTGTTTACTGTCTTTCTTGCCAATCTATCTACCCAGATTACTTTAGCTAACTCTATCCTCATTTCATTGTATTTCCTTTTATTTAGGTTAAATACAGTTGTTTCTGACCCGAGTTTCTCATTCTTGAAGTGAATTCCGGTTCAATCATATTATGATAACTACTTCCTCAGCAATCTTCTATTCCGAGGTCATTTATTAAACCTGCCTCTTTACTTGTTATTAGGTTCAAGATAGCCTGTTCCCTGGTTGGCCCCATGACACTTAGATTTAGATTTATTGTCACATGTATATAAAAATACAGTGAAAAGTGTTCTTTCACGTTTTGAACACAAAGTGTCATCATGCTCCAGTGCCATCTTGAAACACTGAATATAATGCACAATTTTACTGCAATAGAATTCATCATTCCCTCCTCCTCTTGTTCCTCCTCCACTGCTCCTCCAGTTGCTGCTGGGTCTCTGTAACAGGCTCTGGCGTCTCAGTTACAGGCCTCTGTCATCGCCACTCCCATGACTGCCGTGTCTGAGCCGGAGCCATGGGCCTGGGGATGCATGGGTTACATACCTCCTGTTCCCCACCCGACGCTCTTTCAGATGATGCTGTTGATCTGCCATCTGTTCCTTTCCTTGATGCTCCTTCAGGTGCCAGGGCCTAGCTGCAGACCTGGACCCTTGGCCCAGCCTACGAGTCCGGGCCAGGGAAGTGAGCCTGGGACTGTTTGTTGATTTCCGGGAGACCCTGAGCTAGGGTGGAGCTGTGTCCCACTCGTCCTGGCGTTGTTGCCGCTGGAGGCCTCCTCCATCGCTTGCAGTCTCCAGGCTTTAAAGTAAATGAAGAAAAAAGGAAAAAAATAGAAATAGAGCAAAAGTAAAAATAACAAAAGAAAAAAAGAAACACAAAGCCATCAGGAGTGGACAAGCCCCAGGCTCAGCCCCGCTACTCCACCTCCAACTTGACTAATCCAGTCAACATGAAAGTTAAAGTTACCCATAATTATTTTTTCTCCTCTTTTTACATGCCCTTATTATTTGTTGATTTATACCCTTTCCTACAGTATAGAGGCTTCTGTTTGGTGGTCTGTACATATAAATGTCTTCTTTCTCTTGTTGTTTTTTACCTCTACATTATCAGAGCCTAGATCATCTCTCTCAACTGTCCTCATTTCATCTCTTATTAACAGTGCTGTCCCACCACCTATTCTTGAATTATTAATAGAACTTGAGTACAAATGTTGATTACTGATAGTTGAGAGTTTATAGATAGTAAACTGTGAACACTGATCGGGAACCTTGGGGCCGACCAAAGCTTTTATTCCTATATGTTCCTGTGTTTCATTCATGAATATAACTATTTTAGAAATTGAATTGCATAACAATGAACTGTTAGTGAAGACAAAATTTCTGAATACACATATTGGATAACTTTAGCATGTTTTACATGTATAAGTTCTTTTCCTGGCCTTTGACTTTTCTAATGTTTGGATTCCTCAAGTCTTAATTTCTGCTCATTCAAATTGGTAATTTTGATTTAAATGTTGTGCCCTGATCTTTGTATTAAACAATTTTTTTTTCCTCTAACCCTATCCGTATAACAGCTCATTGTGTGGGGTAATGTGTCTTCAGCTGGAAGAACTGAAGGAAGCAGCCAGGGTGTTATCAGGCCATGTTCCTCAGTCCTGGATGTAGGAGATGCAGCCACAGCTGTCAGCTTCAGCCCTGTTACAAGTCTGGATGAAAGGTAGGTTGAAAAGTTGATATGATTGTCTTCTGCATTAAGTTATTAGATCAGCAATGACAAAAGTAAGATGTACAATTATAGAGATAACACAGTGTGGAGCTGGAGGAGCACAGCAGGCCAGGCAGCATAAAGGAGCAGGAAAGTTGACGTTTTGAAGGCTCCCGGCCTGAAACATCAACTTTCTTGCTCTTTTATGCTGCTTGGCTTGCTGTGATCCTCCAGCTCCACACTGTTATCTCTGACTCCAGCATCTGCAGTTCTTATTATTTCTGAGACAGTCGTAGAGACATGTGTTATGCAGAAAGTTTATTTTGAACATAAATGACCTTTTTAGATACTAAGGAATGAAGATGATTATTTTTACTTCCCCCATCCAGGTCTTTTCTTTTACAAATCTTACTCTACAAGAGCTTATTGAAATATCATTTACCTGTTTCATTTTGTATTTTTGCATTAGAGTTCAATTTAAGTCCCTCGCTTTCCATTTCCCACACTGCACCTAATCAGTATTTATGAAGCAACTTCATTCTATCTCTTGCTAAGTTATTTATATGCATAATGCACAAAGAACTCTCAGCCATTAGGTATATTAATTGCATTCTCAACATGGCACATGTTAGAAAAATAATGTTATGGGTAATTATTCTGCAGCCAGTATTGCTAACATTGCCCCACATTGGAAGTGTAGCTGTCTGCAGGAAAAAAAATAATGAAAATCACATTATAAGATACCTGGTATGCCAGTCATGACAGAGGTTTCATCCTCTTTTTCACTCAGGCATAATATGTTCTAAGAGCTACCTTGTGTTCACATTTCATAGCAAGATCATTCCACAATGTTCTAGAAGAATGAATCCATCTGGAAAAGACCGTACTTCAACTTTAATCCAGTCCAGATTTCAGCTAGAAATAACTTCTGGTTCAGTTACATCTGTATGATGTATATGCAAATTTACAGCTCAGCACCATTTTGACAAAGAAAAAATGAATCTGTCTAAGCATTTTGATCTTTTGAAGTTTGGAAACATAACCAACTTGAATGTCGGATGTTATTATTCTATTGGATGTCAATTAGAACTCATAATTTCCTGTTAGAAATGTTTTTTTTCTCTCTAATAGCTACATTCTTGCAGTGGGTTTGGATTGTGGAAATATATTATTATACAAGTGGAAACCACATGAAAATAGTCCAGCAAATGCAGACTGGATGAAATGTTTGCAATTGGGCAAATCGTATCCTTTTTTGAAGATTGCAAGCAGTATAGGTGCTTTTGTGGCTTTGCTATAGATGCAATTTTGAATGACTTGCTTCTGCCATGACTAAGATAAGAGAATAGTTTATTTTGTCAGGATTTGATTATTACAGGGACTAATTAAATGAAGACTTCCCCTTTAAAATTGCTTTGGCTGCAACAGTTGTGTTATAACTTATAATTTAAATGTCTAGTTTTCAGTTTCCTTCTGTGCCACAGAACTATTTTGAAGTCATTTGCATTTTGGTAGTGTGTGTTAATATATCTGGATGAAAGTGCTTCATTAGCTTTTAAACAAATTTTATTCAGAGTATGCAGCTTATGTATTGGATTTCAATTAAGAATTTATATACTTGGGATTGTGTTAAAGTGCATTTGAGTAATATAAATTATTGATTGGTTGTCTCAAAAACCCAGAAGCACTTCATTATATTTGATAATATGTTAACTAAACATAGTCTTTCTCCCAAAGAAACACAAAAACTGGACATCATGTTAACAAGCATCAACGTATAGTCTTTAGAAATCTTCTTCCTTAGACTGACTGGGTTCTGAATCAGTTTAAATGTATGTTTACATACAGATTTAAGATTGAAGCAAAATTTTTGTCTCCTAATAATGACAGGATTTCTAGTGAGCGTATTTTAAGTGGAATAATTCTCCTTCGCTAGAAAGGAAGAAAGGTTTGTGTTCATGAACTGTTTATCTCAAGATGCCCTACCATTCTGTTGTGAGCTGCATGTGACTCCAATCCAGACTATATGGTCGACTCTTAAAGTCATCAGGATCGGCTGAGTAAAAAATCTGCATTGGTGAAGCAATAAAAAAAAACTTTGCTTTTCTACAGTGCCTTTCAAAACTTCAGGATGTTCCAAAGTGATTTACTGCCAAATGAGTACTTTTAGAAGTGCAATCACTGTTGGAATGTAAAGAAAAGCAACAGTCAATTTGCATTCAGAAAACTGCCATCATGGGGCAATGAGATAATGAGGAGTTAATTTTGTTTTAGTGATGTTGATTAAAAGATAAACATAGGCCAAAAGCGCAGAGGATAACTCCCTGCTGTTAGTTCAAAATAGTGTCATGGGACCACTTATGTCCACCCAACTTGGTTTAGAGTCTCATATGAAAGCTGCCACCTCCAAAAGTGGAACACTTGGTTGATACTTCAGTGATGTAATAATCTAGATTTTTCAGTTCTCCCCTCTGTGGGAAGACCTGAACTCGCAACCTTCTGATTGAGCTTTTCACCATGTCACAACCATCTGTTACATCCAGACCCCAGGCAAGTCTCCCTAGTTCATTATGGTTACAAATAGGATATCCCAAACTTTTTATCTCCCGGATGAGGAAAGATGAACTGGATCCCCTTCTTTATTCAACCATTCCTCCACTGTATACAATGTCAATTTAAAAAAGATCCCTTCCCTTGTAGATGCCTTGGCTCAAGATCCCACTAAATTTATGTTTTAAAAGAAGCCAATTTAATCAGGCTTCCTTGAATGAACAAAAGGATGCCAGTTGAATTAGTAACACAACACGCAGACCCACAGATTAGAAATGAGAAGTCCAGAAAGAAAAAAGTTAAGGAAAAAAATTGATCAAACTATGCATTGTTTGTTAAGAGTGGATAGTTGAACAGCTGTCTATTGCAAAAGAGGTTACCAATAGTGTTGATGTTGGCAAATGAACAGTCACATTCACGATCCTCACTTTTACTGATTTGTTAAGATTCTGTAATCCTGATGCCTATTGAGGGTGATTAGAATTCTAGCATTCAGGGTGAGAGAGAGCCTTTTTGCTGCTCAATTTCCTTCTTTTAAATTGGTTTGCAGCACTCAGAATTGGAGAAGGTTATGGTCAGAATTAGAGCAGCACAGATATCTGGGGGGGTTGAGGTCTACAGAAAATTAGACACAAGGAAGGGCGAGGACATGGAGAGATTTAAAAACTAGGATGAGAATTTAAAATAAGACTATAAGACGTAGGAGCACAAGTTGCCCATTCAGCCCATTGAGTCTGCCTCCACCGTTCAATATTGATCTGGTAATCCTCAACTCCACCTTCCTGCCTTTACCCTATAACCTTTGATTCCCTTACTGAGTAAACACCTGTCTGTCTCAGCCTTGAATATTCTTAACCATTCAACTTTTACAGCCCTCGGTGCTAAAGAATTCCACAGATTCACTACCCTTTTAGACAGGAAATTCTGCCTCAATTCAGCCTTAAATGTGCGGTCACATATTCTGAAATTATGCCCTCCAAAAATCTAGGTATTTCTTAAACCAATGTATTTCAGCAAGCACTGCAGCAACCGAGTATGAGTAAGAAAATAGGCAGGTGAATTTTGGGTGACATCAAATCTGAAGAAGGTAGAATATGCGTTGCCAATCTGAAATTAAAAGCTAGTCTAATGACAACAAATATCATTGGCTAATGGCAATGTAGCTATTGTTGTAAAAAACCATCTGCTGTACTAATGGCCTTTACCTAAGGAAATCTGTTGTCCTTACCCAGTTTGGCCTACATATAAATCCAGATGCTGAACAATTTGGTTGATTCTTAACTACCCTCTGAAGTGGCCTATCAAGCTACTTAGTTTAAATGCTGGCCCAGCCAGTGATGTTCCTGAAGAAGACAGGAGTTCTATAAAATTGTCAAATTAAGAGGTAACAAATACATGGATGAGGATTTTGTTAGCTGGTAAGATGGGGCAGGAGATAAGCAAAGCAAGGTCACACTTGAAATTATGCAGTCCTACTGATGACACTGATATGAGATTCGAAACCCAACTCAGCTGATCAAATTTGTGAATGGTCTGGTTCAGTCGCAAGCAGTTGCTTGGGAACAGAGTAGAATTTGTACCTAGAGAACAGAATTTGTGGCACAAATTGATTTCCCAATTTTTTTTTTGGAAGAAGTTTCTATTGATTTAGTTCTGAATGTTGGTCAAGCAGTCTGATAATGTAGCAACAGTGGAGGAATCAAGAGAAGTGGTTGTGAGTTAGGGATGTTTGTTGTTAAGGTTCATGTAAAAACTAATGCTGTGCTTTTGGATAATATCACTGAGATTCAGCATGTAGATTAAAAATCAGAGGGAGCCATAGATATGCCCTTGGGAAACACCAGAGGTGACAGTGTCGGAATGGGATGTGAAGCCATTGCAATTGATGAAAGAGCTCAGCTTAGAACATGGTAATTGATGTCCACCCAGCTGGATGGTGCTTAGAAGCATTGGAGGAGAATACTGTACTCAACAGTATCCAAGGCTGCCACCAAACTGATATGATAACAAGATAACTAATCTTTGCCAGGAGAAATTTTGGTACTATGGGAGAAGTTGAAACTAGATTCGAGGGATTCAAATATAGAGCCTTGGGTAAGGTCGATGAATAGGAAAAGCAACTACACTCACCAGGACATTTGAACGGAAAAGGTAATAGAGATAGAATGGGATGGTTCACAGGGTTAAATGGGCAGGTTAAATGGATTTGGAAGAGAATAGGATAGTTCCTGTACAAAGAGCTGTTAACAAGTTAGCTAATAAGGGGATTAGAAAAAGAGGTTTGATAGTCAGTAGGTTGCCCTGGGCACAAAGAGGAGCTAGAGAGGACGAGGGAGAGAAACTAAATAAAGATGTGATTTCAGAGCTGGGAAAGGGAGAGTCTTTAGAGGCTATCTGGCCCAGTGGACTAGTGGAGCAGAGGCATCTGATTGTATGGTCTTAATCTTAGAAACAGGAGGAATAAATTAATGTTGGATTAATCAGCAGAATCTAATGTGTGTCCTTGAATCTATGATAGGTATTTCTGTTTTTATTTACGTACAAAAGAGACAAGAGCCTTAGAAGCAATCTTAATTTACTAAATGAGAAAGAGTACAGATGATTAAAGAATGTGTGCTTATTTTTAAACCAAGGCATAAAATTGGCAAATGTTGTTTGATGTAGATAGATGAACATAGATATACTTTTGGGGAAATAAACAGTAGAATGAAAATATACTCAGTATCATTTTATGTGAATTGGAAGAAGAGAATAGAAGTTTTGGAGTTGAACTGAGCTGCTTTTTAAAACAAAGTGACAGCTTCAATGAGTCAATTAAAAGGAAAATTAAATTTGGCTTTCATATATAGGACCAATACCAGATTCCACAGTGAGACAAAATGTCCTGTCAGCACCATGCCTGTCAACCCTCAGAATATTGCACATTTCAGTAAAACCATGAGCTGATTTTTTTGTGGGTGGCTTGAGTTGAGAGATTTCTGACTTGGCAGTCCACTAAGCTTAAAGGGTCCCATTCAACCAAATCTTTCCTACAGGGAGACGGTCAGAATTGCATCAGGTTTTCCAACCCTGGAAGCAGATCCTAGGTGATGATAGAGTAGGCTGCTTGGAGGCTCCGCCTCAATAATCTGTGACTTGATCCCAGTTATTTCAGAGGCTGTTAGGTATGTAGCCTTCTCCCCTCACATCCCCCCCACGAACCCCCATATCATCTCCATGCCAGTCCATATTCCCCACTCACCCCTTTGTGGTCACCACAATTTTTTAGGCAGCATCCATCTTGGGCAGACATCAGGAGCAATATGGAAATAACAATTTTATACAGCACTCCCTTCTATACACTTGGTAGTGAAATTCCTATTCATGAAGGCCAAAGTTTTTAAATATCAAGTGGTTTCTATAATTAACCTCTTACAAACTCACTTCCATTCAGACCTCATATCAAATTCTTTAATAGGCTGTTTAAACTCTCAATCGAATTGTGAGCCCAGAGCTCCTGCTGAGATGATTGTAACTTTTGAAACTTTATCAAGAATTCATGATAACAAAGTAATAGTCCTTGGGGAAATGTCAACAAAGAGCTGTATCGAGACTAAATGACCATCGATAAGCCACATCTGTTTTTTTCTAACCTCCATCAGATGGCCTGTCTATCAAAGCAATCCAGCAGAGGACTTATTTTTACATGTCACTGACAGGTTTTTTTCCATGTTTAATGAATGGAGGATTTTAAAGAAACTTTGCTTTGTGACACTTAAAAGACCTTCTCAGTCTATTGAGAGAACTTGCATAAAACTAATGAGACCATCATACTGCAGCCTTAGGCTGTTAGGACCAACCGGGATGGAATCTTTTTGAACTCATTTTGAAACGGCCCTGTCGTGCTTGGATTTCCCACCTGTGGGAGTCACTTTCTTACCCCTTGCAGAAAAATTTGGATCAGAAGTGGGAGCAGAGCATCCAGATCTGGATCCTGCCTGCAGTTTTTCTCAGCGTCTTCCTCAGTCCACAAAAGTTCAGCTGCATCTTTCATTCTTTTAACTTTCAATGAACATTGCACTACCTGCTTAACCTATTCTCACAAGACATTTTTATCATGGGAATCAATCTTATAAGCTTTCTTTGAACTTACTCCGATGATTGATTGAATATCCCACCATGAATAGAGACCAAAACTGTATACAGTATTGTAGGTGAATCAGAGATAGTAGGAACTGCAGATGCTGGAGAATCCGAGACAACAAGATGCAGGGCTGGATGAACACAGCAGGCCAAGCAGCATCATAGGAGCAGAGAGGCTGACGTTTCGGGCCTAGACCCTTCATCAGAAAAGAGGGAGGGGAAGGGGGTTTTGAAATAAATAGGGAGAGAGTGGGAGGCGGATAGAAGATGGATAGAGGAGAGGATAGGTGGAGAGGAAACAAACAGGTCGAAGAGGCGGGGATGGGGCCAGTAAAGGTGAGTGTAGATGGGGAGTTAGGAAGGGGATAGGTCAGTCCAGGGAGGACGGACAGGTCAAGGGGGCGGGATGAGGTTGGTCGGTTGGAGATGGAGGTGCGGCTTGAGGTGGGAGGAGGGGATAGGTGGGAGGAAGAACAGGTTAGGGAGGCAGGAACGAGCTGGACTGGTTTTGGGATGCGGCAGGGGGAGGGGAGATTTTGAAACTTGTGTAATCCATATTGATACCATTGGGCTGCAGGGTTCCCAAGCGGAATATGAGTTGCTGTTCCTACAACCTTCGGGTGGCATCGTTGTGGCACTGCAGGAGGCCCAGGATGGACATGTCGTCTGAGGAATGGGAGGGGGAGTTG